AAAATTGCATAGCAAAAGTTTTATCTTGGTGACTATAGCTTCAATGAAATAAATGCTGTAAAAATGTGTCTATTTTAGCAACATAAGGAAAATATATGCCTATCAAAAAGTTTATTTAAATGGTACTGACTGTTTTGGTTAAAAATCATCAAGTTTTAGTGAGAAAGGATCACTCTGGACAAGAAATCAGTGCTAAAATTAGGGAAAGGGACATACATAATAACATTTAAATACCTGTACTGCAAACCATAATACCCAGAAGGAGAGAGAGAGAGATACAGAGAGAGAAACAGAGAGACAGAGAGACAGGGAGACAGGGAGACAGAGAGAAAAGTGCCTCCCATAAAGGCAAGCTAGTGGGAAGGGCTGGCAGGAGAGAAACTGGGGACACTGGTGGTGGGAATGTACACTGGAGAAGGGACAGGTGTTGGAACATTGTATGACTGAAAACTAATCGTGAACAACTTTGTAACTGTGTTTCTCATGGCAATTCAATATAAAAAAGAAAACACATCAATTTTGATATGTTTATGATTAAAATGTGAGGGCTATCAATCCCTCAAGGTATACTGCCTCAGACCTCAGACCCAGAAGAATAGTTAGGCAGAAAATGGAGAGTGGAGAGACCCAGTTCTCTTTCTTGAGCTGGAACTTGTTGCTTATTAAACATTTACATGCGAAGGAATTGTGCTAGGTTTCTCTCTGATTCTATTTCTTTCTTTTTCTGTGTCTTTCTTCCTCTTTTAATTTTTTGTTTTTGTCTCTCTTCTCTGCCTCTGTTCTGTCTCTCCCTATACAGTTTTGTAACATATAACTCTCTGTTCCTCTATCTCTCCACATATAGAGAATCATAGTCTTTCTCTGTGTACATGGATCTACGCTGCATGTAGATGTCAGTATAGAAGGAAGACTGATGAGTCAGTCAGATCGATACATCCCATCTATCCTCACCTCATGTCCCAAAGGAGGAATTATCAGCTTATTGAGGGTGAGTAAGTCGCCCTCAGCTGGTCGATGGCACAGTGGGTGTCCAGAAGATGTTTCTGGAGTGAGTAATGAGAATGCAGCTATGGGCGCCTTTGACTGGGGTTCTGAGAAGCAGTAGTTTGGGGGAAACTCTCTTTGACATCAGCTTCCCAGCTAGTTCCCAGTTTAAGCCGGGTACCCTCAGTAGATGTATAAGTAGGGTGACTCCCCATGTGGTCTCTGTTTCCCTCTGAACCTTCATCTCTCCCTTCTCGGCCTGTTTTGCAGCCAGTTCATGCTGTTCACGCTGTTTCACACTGTTTCACATTGTTCAGGAAACTGAGGCCATGGGTGCCCACCAATGTTCTGCTTGGTTACCAGATTCCAGAGTCTAAAATCAAGTATCTAAATACCTGCCCCTGCCCCACATTCATACATTTTCCTGGAAAGGTATTCATTTCATCATTGGTTATCAATCTTAAAGAAAACAGCTATTTCCCCGTGTGAGGGGGCCGGAGGCATATTATTCTTCATAATGATAAGGTGATAGATGTTTAATAGAGATGTTTACAAATACAAAATTGCATAGGGAAACCAAATTACAATAATACCAGTTTATCTCAATGTGAACATTTAGTAGCTACAATTACAGAAGCCAGCTCATTTGAGGCTGTTTGCATGTGGCCTATTTCATTTTTATTGCTTGGGCTTAGTTGTTTCATGGTTAGCTGAGGGTTTTAATTATTGGTAATGACTATGCTTTTAAGATCAAATGCTTCTTCAAACATAGAAACAGCTCCTTCCCTTGCCCCCCATCTAAAATGAGAGAAACCGTTTAAATGCTGGCTGAAACAGTCTCGTCTAAACAGTAAACTGGGAGTGCCTGGATGTGAAGGTAGGTGTTAAATGTCAATGATCAGTTAAAAATAACAGCTCCTGAAGATGCAATCATGCCTGTTGGTCTGTGTTGAGGCTAAGTTTGCAGTGAGGAAGGAGAGCCCAGGGGCCAAGAATATGCCCTTCAGAGACATGCTCTTCTCCTTGACATGTGGCAAAGTCCTATCCAACCTGAGCACGACCAGCTAAACATGAACATGGCCACAATTTTTTCTCATGGCTCTAGAACTACAGTGCTGAAGTAGCTCAAGGCGACAGAAGCATAGTCTCTCCTGGTTCTGGAGCAGAAGTCTGAGACCAGGGGCCAGCAAACTGCCTCCTCCCAGGATCTCTTCAGGGTCCACAGTCTGTTCCTTCAAAGACAGAGAATCTGTCCCAGGCTTTTCCCCAGCTTTACATGCTTGCATGTAATTCTTGAGAACATCCTTGACTTGACTTGCTACAGTATCACCCAACCTCTGCTTCATCTTCAGTTTTCTCAGGTATGTGTCTTTTTCAGAATTTCACCTCTTTTCAGTTTTTTTTTTTTGGGGGGGGACATTTTTGCCTTTGGGTCATATCCAGGAATACTCAGGGATTACTCCAGGCTCTGCACTCATGGATCACTCCTGGTGGGTTTTGGGGACCATATGGGGTGCTGGAGATTGAACCTAGGTCAGTTGTTTGCAAGACAAGCACCCAACCCACTGTACTATTGCTCTGACCCAGAGAATTTTACTCTTTTTTTTTTTTAATGAGCAATAGCACAGTGGTAGGGCGTTTGCCTTGCACGCAGCCAACATGGCCGACTCGAGTTCGATTCCTCCACCTCTCTCGAAGGAGGCGAGAGCCCGGCAAACTATCGAGAGTACCTCGCCCGCACAGCAGAGCCTGGCAAGCTACCCGTGATGTATTCGATATGCCAAACACAGTAACAACAAAAGTCTCCAACAGAGATGTTACTGGGCCTGCTTGAGCAAATCAATGAACAACGGGAGGACAGTGACAGTGACAGTGAGTTCTATGGGATTAGGATATATTCTCCTTATCCAATCCAAAGTAAGAATACCTGCAAAGACCTTATTTTCAAATATGGTCACACTCTGAGATCTTGGGGCTCAGAATTCAACACACAAATTGCAGAGCAGGGTGGGAATACAACTCAACCCATAGTGAGTGTCTGCCTCATAAATCCATAGGAAGAGTAGATGAGCTGTAGCATTCCTTCACTTGGAATCTGAAACCTCCCTTCAAAGCTGATCCTATAAGTCCTCTGTTCAAAGGCACTGATCATACTACTATCTGAGCTATTTCACACGAGGCCTGCTCTCTAGAAAGTGTGTCACTGAGACTTCATTGATGTACAGGTATAAGACAAGGTGTCCGATAAACAAGTCTGTGTGGGACAAGAGGGTCTCAGAGACCAGGTTTCATCAGTGTCTCCCCAGGTAGACATGGTTACAGGGTCAGGGTCTTTGACTTCCAGCTTCTCAGAAAACAGGTGGCTACAGGTGATTTCAGATGAGAACCTTGGAACCAGCAATAATCTCATAAGGATGAGCTCTTCTGACCTTTAAGATTCGGGGTCATGATGTTTCAAAATCCCATTCCTGTAGACATGCAGAAACAAACAGGGAGAGAAGTGCTTCTCAGGGCAAGAGGTAGGCATTGCATACTGCACCTACAAGGAAGGTGCTAGAATTCTGATTGCACCTCTGAGAAGATGAGGCCACCCATTGTTGAGGGTGTTGCAGGAGGCCAGCTCCTGGCTCCATGAAGAGGAGTTATGGATCTTAGGTTAGTGCTGCAGCTGAACACAGATGGGAGAAGAGTGACTTTGGCCTGGATTTTCTGTGGGTGTCAATGGGGGTGCTTACTCTGGGGCCATTTGACTAAAGGGACCTCTGCTATTTTTTCTCAATACTTTCTATTTAAAACAAACGAGTGTATTGTATATGAAGCAACAATAAATTGGAGTCTTTTACTTTATTTTATCCATTAATAAATTGGATTATTTTATTTTATTTTTATGTTATTTGGTGGCTATACCCCAGGTACTGAACCTGAGCCTTCAGCACGCATAGCAGGCAGTTTGGTTCTTCAAGCCAATAGAGTTGAATTATTTAATTAATTAATTAATTAATTATGCTTTTTGAGTCACACCTGACAATGCTCAAGGGTTACTCCTGGCTTTGCACTCACGAATCACTCCTGGTGGTGCTCAGGGGACCATATAGGATGCTGGGAATCGAACCCAGGTCAGCCACGTGCGAGGCAAATGCCCTACCCGCTGTGCTATTGCTCCAGCCCCAGAGTTGAATTATTTGGCAGAGGGTGCGCTGAGGTCAGACTTAGTGGTTCTTAGGGCTTATTTCTAGCTCTGTGCTGAGGGATCACTCTTGTCAATGCTTGAGGGAATAGACTCAGTGCTGAGATTCTAATCAGGTTTGACTATACGCAAGCACCTTAATCCGTGCATTCTATCTTTGATCCTAGAGTTGGATCTTTAAGATCCATTGAGAAGCATCATCTTGGGAGAGGATTGGAGACCAAGTTCAAGTAGTGATCTCCTTACACCCTTACACACACACACACACACACACACACACACACACACACACAATGGCAGCCCTACCATACTTCCCTACCCTGACAATACCTTCAGGCTCAGAAATTCTCAGATGTACACTCAAAAGCTTTCCAGGGTGTTGCCACTTTTAACTTAAAAGTTCAACTTCCATGCCACCATTTTACTCGTCATCTGCCCTTGAGGGGCAGATGTGATCGAAAAATAAGGTTTTTATCCATAGAGAGCTTTTTTGGCTTTGAGGAACCTTTATAGGAATCTTTACTTCTAACAAGAGAGTATTTCTATGTAATCATTTAATGTTACCAAGAATCCAACATCTCTGAATCTTTATTCACAGATGTCTGACACCCACTGAAGTGTATAGATGATCATTCCATTTCCATTATTTACAGCATAATGAAAGAACCAGAAAGTCTAACACTTGGTACAAAATAGCTCAGGAAATGGATGACTTTGGGATACTGATCATCTCTATTGACTCAGGGAAATAAAGCTGCAGCATCACTGGACTGGCCCCAAGGAGAGGAAACAGTCTCATGTGTGGGACCAGCAAAATATAGTGACTTACCATCTGCAGATCAGCGTCCAGGTGAGAGCCGCTAGGCTGCAGACCAGCAGGGCACCAAGAACTATGGAGACCAGGGATGCCATTGGGAGCCTCCTGGAGTCTTAAGCAAGAACAAATGAAATGTTTTATAGAGCTACCAGGGCTGGAGTGATAGCACAGCGGGTAGGGCGTTTGCCTTACACGCGGCCGACCTGGGTTGGATTCCTCCGTCCCTTTTGGAGTGCCTGGCAAGCTATCGAGAGTATCCTGCCCGCATGGCAGAGCCTGGCAAACTCCTCGTGGTGTATTCGATATGCCAAAAACAGTAACAACAAGTTTCACATTGGAGACGTTACTAGTGCCCGCTTGAGCAAATTGATAAACAACGGGAAGACAGTGTAGTACTACCAGGCACTGTCAGCAGTAGCTGGAGTTTTCTGTGCACTTTAATTGGACCCAATTTCTACCACTCTTGGGACTTCAGGACATGATACACCTAGGTTATGGATCTGTCCTGTTTGAACAGACAAACTGAGCCCTGAGCAAGGAATGAGAGGAGGGAAAGCCTGCAGAGAACAGATGACAACTTTGAACTTGAGCCACCTTTGCCCTGGCCAGGGAACAAAATCATGTCCTCCTGAAAATATGGAAACCTTCTCTTCCCTCTACATGAGAGAGCAATGTGAGCACTGGGGAGCAATGCAGACTTCCTGGAGCCACAGACAGGACTATGATGGATCCGAGCTGGGTACAAAGTGGCTGTGGTAAAGAAAAGCAGAGAGCCCAGATCCTACACCTCGGCTTGTCTTTCAACAGGAGGCACCTGGGCTGCCTTGGGGAACCTGGAGAACGGGGCACAGCAGGGTTTCCCATCGCAGAGCTAAAAATTCACCTTGGGAAAAAACTGAGCAGGATGGGGGTGTCCCAGAGGGTGTGAGGTAGAAGGCACAGGCTGCCAGGCACCAGGCTGGAAACCTGTGGTTTCTAAGGGTAAGGAAATTCTTATAAAGTGTCTCTCTCAATCCAGACCCTCTCTCTGAGCTTACAATACGAAATGAATAGGCAGTACGTCAAGTTTCCATTGGATATTGAGCCACACAGTGCAGGTGTAGGAGAGAAGATGCCATCTGCAACTGGTGAGCAAGGTCCTTCTGGTCCCCAATGGTCTCTGGCTTCTCTGTGTTGGTACTTGGTGTTGTAAAGGCAATTTGCTTAACCAAGCAAACTGGGATAATCCATGGCAGGAAAACAAGAGGTCTTTATTACACCAGTTGATCAGACCTATGGGTGTAGGTTAGGGAAGCACCTGAAGCCTTAGGCAAAGCTCAGGGGTCCAAGAGCCTGTTTTTATAGGGCATTCCTGCAAATTCATAATTGTTTGACTTTATGCTCAAGCAATAGAGGGGCACATGCACATCATGGCACTTTCTTAGTATTGTTACAGGAAGTTTCCTACATTCAGCACTTTCTTCACTTGAAATAGGGAAGTTCATCCCCAGTGCAGACAGGTGGGCATCTTTCACATTTTCCACCCCAAGTGAAATTATCTCTAAGAGTGCATGCTATATATCAATGATAAAATCTAAGATACATTTCATAAATTTCCATCATAGCATTGGTCCTGGGCTGGAGTGATAGCACAGCGGGTAGGGCTTCTGCCTTGCACGCGGCCAACCCAGGTTCGATTCCTCTGCAACCTGTCAGAGAGCCTGGCAAGCTACCGAGAGTATCTCGCCCGCATGACAAAGCCTGGCAAGCTACCTGTGACGTATTCAATATGCCAAACACAGTAACAACAAGTCTCACAATTTGTTGTGAGATGTTACTGGTGCCCGCTCTAGCAAATCAATGAACAATGAGAGGACAGTGACAGTGACCTAACATTGGTCCATATCAGCTTAACACTAGTGCCCATTTGAGGTTGGCTGGGGTCATTAATGCCAGCCTACATCAAGAGATTATGAGGACACTCTGAGCATGAAGCCTTCTCTGGAATGAGAAGATCATCCAATGAGCCAGGACTCAACACAGGCCAAGAGGCATGAGGTGTATGCCCAGACAGCTCAGTATTTGGTTCTGCTTTAGACTGGGTAAGTCTGAAAATGAGAACTACCACACTTAAGCAAACAGCTTCATTTCGGACTGTAGGCCTCATTCAGCTGCTTCCAACAGAGGGGCCCAGAGCTGGCTGGGGTGGGGGGATGTGCTCACAGAGTCAGCACTGGGTGACTGTGGGTCCCAGAGCTGGGTGGGGGTGGGGGAGGGGCTCACACTGCCCCAGAAACCAGCAGCTGCAGGCATTGCTTCAACTTGGTGTCCACTCCTGCATGGTAGCTGTTCCCTCTCCCTGATGACCTCCAACTCCAAGAGTGCTGCCTGCCAGCTCACCCCCTTTATGACCCCCACTCACTTGTCCACCTGCTGCCTCTATGGTTCCACAAGCTATAGTCTCTGGGACGAACTGCAGAACCTCCCCCCACTGCCCCCAACTGTGGTCTCAGTGGTCCCTGTACTATGGCTGCAATGCCACCTTGGGAGCTCGTGACATCCCGTGTCTGTCTCATTTCATCTCAGATAGACATGAGCATCTCCCCCAACCCCACCCAGTCCATCTCTCCTGTGTGTGTAGCATCTTTGTTCAGGACCCCCAGTTGGCTGGAGTCTCTATGCCCCTCTCGGTCCTGTTGCCCCCTAGACCCACTGCAGGGAGAGTGACTGCAGTTTGTCTCATTTGCACCAAGGTCTGTGCACTGGAGATGGGCAGGGTTGGAGGAGATAGGTGTAGGGTGAGGTCATGATGGCGATCCCATGAGACTAGAGTCTTTCCAGGAAAGGGCAAAAACTAGTGCCCTCTCTGTCCACAAGAGCACCTCTGTCTTTACCAGGAGGAAGGTGAGAAGCTAACCTCATGTGACCAGAAAGAGAACCAGCTAGAAAGCCATTTAGGGCACTCAGTGTGGGACTCCAGCCCCCAGTGTGTGGAGGTCTGTGGCAACCCTGAAGGTTCTGCCCCTTGTAACTGCACTAGATGGTGCTTCCTTGAGAGCTAAGTCCTTGGTGATGGTCAGGACCAGCCCTGTTGCGGGCCCAGCCTGATTCCTGGACACTCTTTTAGTAACTGAAACATAAGAGCACAGAGAAATAAATCGTAGTTCCATGCCCCAAATATTTCTCAAATGTGTATCTATCCTTCTCACCATTGTGCCTTCAAGGGTTTTCTTCCTGTCTGACTCCTGGGGGTCATCAGCCTGAAGTTTCCTTTCTAGCTGCCTGCAGGACCATCAGATAATTCATAGCAGAAACTTCATACATTCCCCACAGGGAAAATGTGGCTCCAGAATTCACAAAGCCTGGCCGCAGTGATATAGACAGTTAGCCAGGGACGGGCCCTATGACAATGGAATTCCTAGGATGTACTAAAACCAATAGGCCCAAAGCTGCAAACACAGGGAACCAAGGCCTGATATGACCCTCACCTGGAGCCAGCAACAGATTCAGAGAAGGCAGGACCCTGCTCCCAGAGAATCTCCAGCATAAACAAAAAGCCAAGAAAGGAATTTCAAAGAAGGTCATTGACCATTCCCAACTCTATGCCCTTTGCAACATCCCTAGCAAAGGAATTTGACCAAGGTAGAAGCCTCAGGAGGGAGTGGGGAAAACCCTATAAAAGCCACCTTGAACAAAGAAAGGGTGTACATATGCTGCCCAAGCCCGTGTGCTGCTTTTGCCCTGGTGGCCAACCACATGTGGCTCCCACATCTCCTCCCTTGAGATGTGTATTTTCATGCTTTCATATTTAATGCTGGAATGTCCTGAAACCTCTCTTGGCCTTTGAAAAAATCTGTGTTCTCTCTTGAGTGTATCGCTCTCTCTCACTTTCTCTCCTACTCTCTCCTTCCTAAAGACCTCCAAATAAAATCTGTGTTTACTCCACTGCTCATCTATTCCTGAAATTCTTTTCTGCAAAGAAAGACAAAGGATCTGTAATTTCTGGGTAAGGCCTAGGACTGACTTTTCAGACTTGATCAGTTCTAACCTTCCCAGCTGGTCCTGGAGTGACAGAGGTGGATTGGGAGGAAGTGACTGTCTTCCTCCTCTCTGCCTCACATAAAGCCACCCATGGGGGCCCTCTTACTTTAGCAGAACTCCCACAGCGACAAGATTTGGAGACAAAAATCTTTGACAACTAAAGAGTGACTAGATACTAAAGAGTGACCCCTCAGGCCATCTACCTGTCATGGAGAGGCTTTAGGGAGATTGTCATCACTGCATCTTAAAACCTCCAGAGCCACAAGGGACTAAATGTCCACCTGGATGCGGAGCTCTGAGCAGACCCAGGGTAGATTTCCTCAACTCCAGACACAAAACAGACCAAGCTGTGTGAATCCACAGAGCTCCTGTGTGTTTCTGGCACTCTTCCCGGGCATGGTCCTGACTGCTCCCCCACTTCTCCTTTCTTGCCATCTGAGTGGATGGTAGTAAAGCTGACTTTTTTGGGTACATGATCTGTAATTAACCGTTGTATGTTCAGACAATCATGCCCAATCTATTGTCTTTCCCAGCAAGAAAAAAATGTACCGGAAAAGAAAGTGTAATTAGTCCCCTAACGACAAAAGGACTCAGCTGTCCCATTATTATCTTCTGTCTCATGAAATGAAGTTCATACATTTATATCCTGGACCACATTATCAAGTCTAGCTTCTACCTGAGATGGGTTGGATGACGCTGAGCCATGGGGAGCTTCCCCAGGAAGAGAACAGGCTGCTTGGGACTCTTGGGATGCCCTGGACTGTCTCTCCAGACCACCCAGGATGGAGGAGCACAGGAAATACTGGGGTGGGAACCGGAATTCTGAGCAAATGCTGAATCTGGAGAGAGGATCTGCTCTCTGGTTGGAATCGAGCTGCAGAAATGTTCCTTTCCCCACTTCTCCCCCCTCCTCACCCTCTATCCCAGCCCCTCACCCTCCAGAGTCTTTGTGAGATGAAAAATGTTATGAGGATTGCTGTTGTGACAACAAATTAGAATGTTGTCCAGCAAGTCCTCCTGGAGTCACCCCAGGGGGTTCTGAATCAGCTTTGGGGAGTTTACAACAGTCAATGCTGAAAACAGTCCTGAAAACAGTTCTGGTACAAGTGCCTGGGGCAACCCTTGGCAGCCAGCCAATTTGCATTTGAATGGTGATTTTAGACATTTTATTTAAAAATGTGAATACAAAAGCAGCTGCTTTCCTTCTTTGTCTACGATCCAAACAAGGTGAAGAAATGTGATAGATTTGCAAAAATGAAAATGGGCAGTGAGCAGGGAATGATGAAGACCAGGGATTTCTACGGGCCAGTGTCTGAGGGTGGTGGAAAGGTGGGGACAGGGAAGACCCTGGAAAATAGAACAGTAACCTGAAAACCTGTCCAGCCTTCCTAAACAAAGGGCATGGAGGAGGACTAGTGGGGATACCAGGGAGCAGAATCCAAACCAAGACTGGGGTTCTGGCTGTGGACGTGGGCAGCTGCTAGCCCAGTAGCCTCAGCTCCAGTGCCCCCGGGATCCCCCGGGGGTCCTGGTTTCTAAGGCAGAGAGGGGACAGCTGAGAATATCCAGCCTGTCTCCCACCCGTTCCTCTGTTGGCCTCTGCCTTTGTGAAGGGCACAGCCTGGGACAGGACTGTGTGATCCACCCAACACAGCTTCAAGGACCAGGCACTGGCCTCCCATCCAGGGGCGACCCCTTCTCCCAGACTGTTTTCTAGCAGTATTCTATCCTCCTCTGCTGAAGACAACTGGTCCTCAACGGATGCACTTTCAATCACTGTTGTTGCCTGACGTTGAAGAGAAAGAAGAAATCCTGGCTGCCTTTGATGAAATGAAGTTAGTCTAGAGCTGTCTTTTATTAGATGTCACTGCTTAAAGTCACAATTTCCCTGAGGACTTAATGAGGACATTCAGCCCCACTCAACTGGCTCTGTTTTTCATGAATTTGGATGGCAGGTCTGAACACACTCACTTACCATGATAACGCACAGACAGATCGTGGTCCTATTCTCAGGCCCACTCAGGCCCTGGGCACCTGCACCCCTTAGTCCCCAAGGTGGGTCTGGGTATTACCCACGCTCAGCCCTTGTGCCCTCATGTCCTGCTGCCACCTAGCCTTCTCTTCCTGAATGTTCACCACTCAGCACCTGTTCCTCTCCTGCTCTCTGCCCTAGACCAGACACCAGTGGTCTCACCTAATGCAACAGCCTCATGCCTGCTGCCAAGTTCCCACATTTTCCTTGAAATACAGAGTTGATTCTGGCCCTTCCCTTCACCTCACAGTTAACCCTAAAAACACTTAGTGGCATTTCACTGCTCTTAGCAGAGTGATTAGAAACCCAACAAAAAATAAAAGTTTCTATATAGCTAAGTGAGGCTCTTTGATTACTGACCCAGATCATCCTGTAACATTTTCTATTTAACCACATGTTTTTTTTTTTTTTATCTTTATCCAGTTCTCTGGGCCCACACAGGCCACAGGGCCTTTGCATCTGTCTTCATAGCATTTTCTTCATTTGCATCTTTGCATCTGCCTTCTTCCTTGTCCACCTTGCAGAGGTCAGCTCAGGTCTCACATCCTAAAAGAAACTTCTCTTACCCTTCCCAGGTAGGTTCAAGCTCCACTAGACATACCTGATGGTGTGGCTTCCTGTGGATGTCAGCCTTATGCTGACTCGATTTGCATGATGCTAGGCATAAGCCTTACTCCTTACTCTGAATCCGTGAGGATGGAACTTGTAAGCTTTGAGTGCACTGTTGCCCTTCCGGCCTGCCTAATGACACATGGGATACTTGGTGCATTTTTATGGAGAAGCTCCATATGGCAGTTTAGAGTGAAGGGTGGAGAGATGGGTTTGTGTGGACCGAGCACTGCTCATGATTCTGGAGACTGTCTCCTCCAGTCTACTTCATCCTGGGACTTCCAAGCCCCGACAGAGCAAGCATCCTACTAAAAATCCAATTACGTGGATTTATCTAGAATCCCCCATCCTTGACATCTGGCCAACTTGATATCTGTGGTGCTTTTTTTCCCACTGACCCTTGGCTCTGCCTGTAGCTATAAATCCTCGGCTATTTTGGCTTAATTTGGAGTTGAGCTCAGTTCAACCCAGAGGTCTTTCTATCGGAGTAGTACACGCAAAATTTGTCTTTGCCATTTTGACCAATCTTGGTGCATTGTTTCTTGTTGAAGGGAACTAGAAACTAAGTAATGAATCCTGGATCTGCTGTGTGACCTTGAGCATGTCACTTAACCTCCCTGTTCTATACATATGAGTGCTTACCTCATAGAGCTAATGATGAAATCAGCTCACATATATTCTTGAGTCATTTGAGACAGTTTGGTATCATTCAGCACAATCTAGACTGAAGTACAAACCAGGTCCTCTGCTCCCCCCCTAGGGCCATTGACCAGCCTCCACACAGCAGAGCAGGCTGTGTCCAGGACATCACCTGTTGCAGCACAGCAGCCCCCCGTCATCCCTGGGTGTGTACCATCAGCTGTACCATCTATTCCCTCCCATCAGGACCCCCAGGAGAATGTCTCACCTACACAGGTCTTCCCATCCTCTCCCAGGATGTAAGGGTCCGTGCACACACACTGGAAGCTGCCCTTGGTGTTCTTGCACCAAGCTGATGAGTGACAAGGGGGGTCTGGCCTGTGGTCACACTCGTTAATGTCTGTAAGACAGTATAGGCAGGGTTGAGGGCTGTGGGGAGCACAGAGAGAAGAGGAAAGGCACCCTCAGTTTGAGGTGGGGCCTCAGAATCCCTGGATCCTGGAAAGAAAGGCACTAGGTTCCCACTGACCCTTCCGTGTCTCCCTCTGACTCCGTGTCCACTGCCTTCATCCACCTCCTGGTGGTCTGTATGATGGGTGTTATTCTCTGCCTGCAGGGCCCAGGCTGCTTAGTCTGTAGTTGCTTCCTAGATCCTGAGAACTCTCTGACCCAAACTGGATTCAGTTGCACAGGATGGATTCACTGTTGAGTCAGTTTAAACCCTTGACTGGCACCTCAGCACAGTCACACCATGGTTGGACGTGGACAGGGAGTTTCCTGCAGGGAACAGATCAGGACTCTCCCCACACATAGGACAGGGGAATGGACTGGGTGTGAGGGTGACCCAGCTGTTCCTAGTGATTAATTTCCAACTAGCAGCCCTGGTCTGGGCCTTGCCTCTACCCAACCCAGCAAACACTAGTCAGGAATGCCCTTGATTCTGATCCCATAGCAGCACTGGGGTATTGTTGAGCCATGGTCAATGATGGAACTTGATGGTCTCCTGCCAAAAATCCATAACCCATTACTGGATTTCTAAGGCTCTTGTCTCTAAATAACTTGCGATGTAACTTTTTCTTCTAATAATGATTCGTTTCTGGTCAGGGCACAAAATAAGCAGTAGAATGTCAAGTGAAAGACAGGATGTGTTCCTAATAACATGCAGGAATGTTACTGTTAAGTGTTGCATATAGGCCTTCCATTAACTGCTCCTCTGTGTCTGGAAATAAGATAACTGTGAGGTCGGCATTCACTGTGATCATGTCAGTCTTTGAACCTGGATCCTGGTCATAGCAAGAAGCTGGACAGGAGTGGAGGGGACTTGTTAGGTGGATGGGCTGGATTCTCATGCACAGGTCAGTGGACACTGCCCAACTCAGATTCTTGGACACTGGGAATGCTGGCACTCACACAGGATTAAGGAGAGCAGGTGGGGCCTGGAGCAATCCTGAATTCAAGGTGCCAGAGGGACTTTTCTCGGGTACAAAATGGGAGCTATTATGTTGATTGGAAGGATGCTCTGAATGGCAGATGATGCACGAAAGAATCTGGGAACTGTCTAGTAGCTTCCAGACAACCCCTCCAGATAGACTGGCTGCTAGTGATGACAGTGATGGCAGCAGCATCTCTGCCAAGTTCCAACAAGGCACCTCAAGGGGTGGGAGTCAACCCCTAGCTTCAAGTAGCACAGTGAATTAGGAATTGGGAATTGTCTTTCTGTTGTAAAGTTATTAGGAAACATTAATTTAAAAAATATTTATTTAATTATTGGGCTTTTTGGGCCATATCCGGGAATGATCAAGGGTTATTCCTATCTCGGTGCTCAGAAATTACTCCTGGCAGTGCTATGGAAACCATATGGGATACCAGGGATTGAACCAGGGGTCAGCTGCATGCAAGGCAAATGCTCTACTCACTGTACTATCACTCCAGTCCCAGTTATTTGGAAACAGTTCCTCCTTATTAATTGTGCCAAGCCCTTTCTCAGGGAGCTCTCTGGGCCTGCAACTGGCCTTGTCTGTGAGCTCAGGGCAGGAAACCTGACTTGAGTATACCTACAGCTTCTTCTAAGAGGGGGCTTGCAAGCCAGAAAACACTGCAGGAGCTGATCCATGGGGTGTGAGGTGGAAGGAAGAGGAAGAAGAGCAGATACAAACTGTGGGGGCTCTACCTTCAGCTCCTACCTACTGGCCAGCTGGACCCTTAGAGGGGTAAGTTCCTGTAGCAGCACCTGCTCTTGTCTGCATTGTCTGTCCCCTGATCTCTGAGCTCAGTGTGCTGGGCAGACCCTGCCGTGGCCCCTGAACAAAGCACTCAGACTGGGTGACTCAAAACAACACAGATGTCTGTTCTGGAGGTGGCTGTGCACGTGACCCCTTGTCTTCTTCAGCTGCTGGGGGCTGCTAATGGTTGGGTGTCCCTGGACTTGGAGCTACTTCTTTGGGCTGCTCCTCTTCGGCCAGAACCCTAGTCACATGGAGCTGGCCCACCTGTGGGCAAATCTTACTGGAGCCTTCTTCCTAATAAGGTCATGGGCTGGCATGGGAGGAGTTCAGACTTCCTGTATTTGGGGGGGCAGACAGTCCTTCCCATTACACTGCACCTGAGGTCTGTCTCTTCTCATCTGAAACCTGGAGCCTCATCCAGTCTGGCTGCCCCACCGAAGAGTGACTCAGGAGCGGGTGACAGCTCGCAGCTGCAGGTGACAATGCTTCTTATAAAGGCAAGACACTGAAGCAGTTTCAGGCCTGCAGGGCCCCTAGATTTCTGATCAATCTGCATAAAAGCCAGGGCCCTGCTTACCTGGCCAGATTGCTGGTTGTTCGGGAAGACTGCAGATTGCATTCCCAGGTCCCCTCCTCCCACTGCTCGCCCCCCAAACATCTGCACAGATGCAGCATGCCCTGAGCACATTTGTGCTGATTGCGAATCTTATTCTTCCTAACAGACACAGAAGCACTCATTTGCATTCATTTATTACATAATCTCTTGACAATAACTGGAGCAAGAAGTAGCAGATACACAGCTTTTTATCCATTTTGAATTCACACTAACTTTGAAGCCCTCAAAAGAGACTCATTACAATTCATTTGCTGTCCCCCCTCCCATCAGATACTTATATGGATGGGTTTTACTGGATAAGTAGGATTTGTGTAAAGAGGAGAGCAGTGAATTTCTCTTGATTTTTGTGTATTAAATATCCAGTTAAGCCTGCAAGCTTTGCTTTTTTGCAGAGGCAGGCTTGTGGATTAGACATTTCTCTGGGAATTGGTGGCGGTGCTTATATTCACAACAACTCACTGGAGAAACCAGAAGTCAAGACTTCCCTCTCTGCTGTATTGAAGAGTCTTCCCCACACCACTCCCCTGTAATTCTTAACTTTGAAAAATTCTAGTATAAGATATAAATGGGGCAGAAATATTTGCTGACAGAAACGAATGCATTAAACAATGGATTTTTTTTCACTGAATTTTTCTGTAATTGATTTTTAAGATAATATTTTTTAGGGTTTAATGAGATAGCTCAGGGATCAGCAGCATACACGTGCTTGGCATGCACTAGAATCAAATTTGAAGCCCAGCATCACCTGGCCCTCCAAGATTTGTTTGTTTCTACAAGCCACTAAGCACCACTGGGGTGTTCCTGGTAGTCCCCAGCTCCACAAGAACTGGCCATCTCTGCATCCTGGGGCTCTAGTATTGATAGTCCTGGTTCAGTTGATTTAGGATTACAGGAAGTATCCCTGAGGACCACTGAGCACTGCTTGGAAGATCCTGCCCTAAAAGATATCCTTCATATTCATATAGTCAGATAAAAAATAATACAGGGTTAACTCTTCAAAGTTTACAGTTTCATGAAGTTATTATTCCTGGTCCCATTACATAATTAGCCAAAGGAATCAGGAGTAATGACCTTGTAATGTCTTTATGAAAATATTTATAAAGGCATTAGAAGTAACTAGGTTCCACTGCTTTTGAAAATAGTCTATTCTGATTTTCACTGTGACACCCACCTCACCTGCATTTTCACTCCGTGGCATGCTTTAATTCAACAGACAGTGTTCTAAGTGAACGGGCATGCTGTGGACTTGATCAAGATAATGAATCCCAGTGTGAGTGTATCAAAATCTAGACCACCTGCTCTTGATTTACTGTGTCAGCCACACTAGGTTTCTACTGCATTCTCTGTGGTGCGCATTTAGCTAATGTAAACTAACAAGCATTGCAGTAGACCTGATTACTATCCCCATTTTACCTTTGATAGCATAAACACACACCGAAGCTCTCAACTGGGGGAGACAGAGGAAGAAACTACTAAACTACTGAAGTGGCCCAGGTAAGGGAAGGCAGGAAGCAGGTCCAGTACAAGAGTTAAAAACAGGTTCGTGGTTGACTGGTTCCCCCAAACTTACAGTCTAATCAGAAACTTGTCAGAAATTCAGAGTCTGACTCAGGAACTCTGGGGAACTTGGGATGCTCATTTCTACAGAGCTTTGGTTCTGTCTTCTGCTGCCTAGGGACCACATGCTGAGTCTGGGAATGAGGCTCAGTGAAGTGATCCTAGCCCAGGAACCCTGGTCAGGTCTAAAAAATGAGCAGTAAGAACAGTAGATGCAAGAGCTAAGAGGATCACTCTGCAGTTTGGAAGTCTGCCTCATGAGCTGGGGGAAAAGTTAGGATGGAAAAGGGACCACTAAATCAATGATGGCTGGAGGGATTGCTCAGGATGGGAGATGTGTGCTGAAAGTAGACTAAAGACCAAACATGATGGCCTCTCAGAATCTGTATTGCAAACCATAATGCATAAAAGGAGAGAGAGAGAGAGACAGAGAGAGACAGAGAGAATAAGAAGGAAGGTGACTGCCACAGAGGCAGGGGGTGGGATAGGGTGGGGTGGCAGTAGGAATACTGGGAACATTGGTGGTAGAAAATGTGCACTGGTAGATTGATTGGTGTTTGATCATTGCATGACAAAAATCCAATCATGAAAGCTTTGTAACTGTATCTTGTCACTGTCACTGTCCTCCCGTTGTTCATGATTTTCTCCAGCGGGCTCAATAACGTCTCCATTGTGACAATTGTTACTGTGTTTGGTATATCGAATACGTCATGGGGAGCTTGCCAGGCTTTGCCGTGCAGGCGAGATACTCTCGAAAGCTTGCTGGGCTCTCCGAGAGGGGCGGAGGAATCAAACTCCAGTCTGCCATGTTGGCCGTTTGCAAGGCAAACACCCTACTGCTGTGCTATTGCTCCAGCCCAACTGTATCTTAAGTTGACTTAATTAAAAAAATTAAATAAAAAATAAAAGTGAGCAAAGACACTGTTAAGTTGTTAGCTGTTATTACTTGTGGGCAGGGATCTGAGATAAATGGTTTTGATGTCCTTCTTACACGTGTCTAGAGGAGGTAGGAAAATATCCTATATGGAAGAGATAATATGAGCTGGAAATCCAAGGGCAGCCACAGAGTGCCATGGGGAGCCCGGAGGTGGTGCATGGGGACATGTGGTAATAGGCAGTGTTCACCATTACTTGCCTATTTTGAACTTGAACTTGCACTTTTGCTTCCCTGTGATTTGAATTTAGTGCAATAAATTCTCAGATCAAGTAGTCAAAATCAACATTATTATTAGGGTAAAAAGGCTGAACAGCATACAAGTGATGAGAGTGTCTTGTAAGACTAGAACCCACATTGTCCAAAAGGGTTATGCATGCCCCCACCTTCCTTGTCTCTCCTGTCAACATCTAGATCAGTGGGTTTGGCACATTTTTATACCTGTGAACTGGCATCCATCCATGGACCAGCAGTTGAAACCCCTGGATCTACATCAAATAGGTAGTTAAGTTTAACCTAGATCCTAAACTGGAAAATTTGGACTTGTTAAAACTTTACTATTGAAGGATTAGGTGCTGCACCTCATTCTCAGGAATAGGTAAAGGTAAAGACCCTCCCGTTGATCGTCGATTTGCTCGAGCGGGCCCAGTAACGTCTCCATTGGAGACTTTGTTGTTACTGTGTCTGGCATATCGAATACTCTCGGTAGCTTGCCGGGCTCTCCGAGAGGGGCGGAGGAATCGAACTCGGGTCGGCCATGTTGGCTGCGTGTAAGGCGAACGCCCTACCCGCTGTGCTATCCTATCATTCTCAGGAATGATAAGGAGAATATTGACAGTAATGCCAGATGCATGAATACATCCTGCCTGCCTCACGGAGCAGGGGCGTTTTTATGAGGTTCTGAGGTGATCTTCCTTCTGCTCTTTCCGCACTATCTAGATCCTCTGAGTTGCTTCTCCTCCGCGGTCCTCAGGACTGAGACTAAAAGGATTGCCTTCCCTGGTCCATGTGCTTCAGATGCAAAATTGAGGGTGTGTGAAGCTGCTTAGAAGTTTAATCAAAGGGTTCTGGTCCAGACAGTGTTTCAGGGGCAAGAAATTCCTCCCCACTTCCCAGATTCTGATCCATTTCCAGTCAGATTCAAGAACCTACAGCTATTCTCAAGGTACTCCCAAGATACGCCTCTCCAACTGGCTTTATGTCCGACTTCCTTTTTTCTTGCTCACCTCACAGACACCAATCAGAATCTATCTGAGACTATGAGCCCTTAATTGGATAGCAGCTGCAGTGCTGAGTCCTAGGAGATCTACGATGCTCACGGTCACTTGGTCTTTCTTTCGTTCCACAGAATCCAGAAAGCGGTCTATCCTGGCAACCCATCCAGGATAAAAATTTTTGGACTTCTAAATCACATACATTGACATCTTTGTTATTGTGGTAGACATAGCATAAAAAAGCATGCATTTCAGTAGCATGAATGACCTTCAAATGGTTGTGCAATTTTCACCACCATCCATCTCTAGAATTTTTTTCATCTTCCCCAACTGAAACAGAAGCAGTGGAAAATATTGGCCACTGCCTTTATTTCTGGTTTGCAAACTAGCCAAGTTCCTGCCTGAGTTAGTTCATCAATGTTCTGATACCTTGCTCACTGCAGCTCATGGCAAGCAGCCCACACACAGTTAATTTCTGATGTTAATCTTTTCTTATAGGAATAAGACCTTGGTGGTGGGCAATAGACCTGCCTTTCGGGTGATTGCTGGGGATGCTGACCCAACCTTTCACCAGCCCATAACAAGTGCACTCACATCTCAGCTCTTGGAATCCCCACACAGACTGCAATTTGGGGTTTTCTATGGAGCATTTCTGACTGAGCCCTCAGACTTCTTACCAACAGACTCATCAACCATAGGGAATCTCAGCATAGCACAGAGGTTCCCTCTGTTTGCCCGGAAGTCCCATTTTTCCTTCTTGCTTCTTTGGCACTCAGACATTGGTTGCCATTACGCACTCTTAAGAGATACAGGAGCATTCACTACTAAAGCTAAAATAGTTAAAGTCACTTGTCCTGTCATATGTCTGGCTACAAATCCAGGAGCATGGGTTTATAAGCTGCAGCAGAAAGAAGATGTAAATGGGGTGCATGGCATGGAGTTGGTTAAAGAAAAGGGCCTTAGAATTGATCTATTGGCAGGGTAGAAACGTCCCTGACCTACTGATGAAACTATTTTTAGTTTGTTCCACTATTTAAATAAGCTATAATCACTTACTTATAATCTCCCTTTTAAGCCACTAAGTTCATTTTTTTCCCTTGTCTATGGTCCCCTGCAGGGCCTGTGGGTCTGCAACTGCCCTGATGCTGCCTGTTCTAAAAACACTTCAACAAGGTGAACCAAGAGAATAAAATTCTGTTTCCACACAGAACTATTCATGGGCTGGTTAGTGGGCTGAGACTCACCGTTCCATGGACGACATTTCCATGTAGATTTAGGGGTCAAGGGTTCCCAAAGGTGTGCCTGTGAAATGACTGACCTTTGCACATGGGGGGCTGAGAGTCCCATCCTCTGAGGGTACATGTGATTTGCTCCTGTCCTTGTAACTCAAATCCATGGCGACAGGAATAGACTGCGACTCGCCTTCCAGATTCCTCACAGAACACGTAGTCCCCATCATCCACATTAGCTGGGAGGCCACATGGGTCATCTGTAGAGTCGAAGGTCAAGTCATACTCCAGTCAACACACTTGCTTCTACTTTCATTGGCCTCTGAGGACTATATCTGCCCTGTGCAGCCTCCCTCTGGACCTCAGCAAAGCTCATTGTCCCTCATTGCAAAATTTCCCCTCAGAATGAAACGTCCTCTCACTTGCTTTCCTGTGTGGAACAGTTCTGTGAAGTCTCTTGAGAACCTAAGTCATTTGCTGCGAATTTTACTTCTATTTCTTCTTAAATCAGCTACAGCCAGTCTCTGGTTCCCCACTCCAGCACGACTATTTGCATTTAGGTCAATAGCTCCAGGTTGCTGACTGTGGAGGAATCCCCACCAGCCTCTTCACATTTCGCCCTCATGGCCTTCCGTGGTCTAAGCGCCTTCCCCCTACCTGAGCCCTTTCTGCACATGGTTTCACTAGACCCTTTACTCTTTCTCAGTGTCCTTTTGAGATAGTTCCATCATGGTCTGTGAACTCCGGCTGGGACATACGCAGAGTAGACTGTTTCCTCAGTCATCTGGCATGAAATACAATTTGCAGATGGTACTTACAGATCATTCAGGTTGGGAGCTCTTCCTTGACTTCCACTTGTCTATACCCACTGCTTTCTGCTCACTTCCTCTCGTACAGCAGGCCTGGCTCACATGGATGAGGCCTCAACAGAGCCATCCCCTGCACAGGTTAACGCAGCCTAGAGCCCCGCAGAGCCCAACTTCTGTGTCTCCAGGGGACTCTGGGGTTTTTCCTGGGATGACCCACCACAAGAAACCATAAGGAAGTCACATCCTGCCTGGACTCTGGCAGCTCATGCTCATGTGTAGACCCAGGATCCTTTCCTCTCTTTCCCGAAGGCAGATTCCCTAAGGCAGGAACTCTGCTCCCCACCCGGCATCCACTCCCCTTGACTGCTAGCAGGATGCCCCCTAAAGTAGAAGTATAACACCTGTCACATTCTTACTCCAATGAGAGTGGAGCCTGGCTGGTATGGCCAGAATGTTGATTTCTTCTCCTCCTTACATCTTTGGGCCTCCTTGTGGGTTCACAAATTCCAGCTGAATAGCCTCCTGAGTTTGCACAGGCACTCACCCATTGCTCTGCAGAATTTTCCTGACCTGTCCCTGAGACAACTCAGCCCCTCCATATGCTCCTCAGTGCTCCCTCACTGGAATGATAAAGCATAGGACTTGCAGGACTTATTCTCCACACTACCATTTGGATTTTGTCTGTCTTTCCATCTCAGAGCAAGTGTGAAGAGGGGCGCGTGCGCGCACGCACGTGTGTGCGTGTGTGTGTGTGTGTGTGTGTGTTTGTGTGTATAATTCTTCCTGCCTCTGTCTCCCAAGCACCTTGCCTTGGTGGCACAGAAGGGATCAGTGACTGAGCCCAGAGTTCTTGCTAGGACCTGGGGATGTACATCACTGAGTTGGCATCAAATTGTCACCAGAATAAGGCTGAGCAGTTGTACTGTGTGTAGGTAAGATTTGAAAGAAATGGTGGGACCACTGGCCGTCATGCCTAGAACCAACACCAAAGCTCAAAGATCAAGTCAGAGTCTTTCCCTGTCATTCATTAGGAGAGCAACTGAGGTGGATACTATAGGAAATCTGATGTCTCTGATGAAACGAAGTCCTAAGCAAGCTTCAGGTATTTGCCAGTTTCTGCATCTCTCAGAGGACAGGATACCTATAGCCTCTGGATGGTTCTAGTATCTGTTAACAATATATATCTTTCTTATCTACCTCTTGTCAGACTCCCACTAAGGAGTGTGTATATTTGTGGTTGTCATGACTTCTTGGGTGCTACCTAGTCTGGTGATAAAGCACAGTGCTGCAATGCAACCCCTCAAGAGAGGGGCTCTGATGTGCCCTGATGTGAAGAGAGAATCATGGGATCCTTACTCATGGGAACAGTTTATTTGTTAGGAGAGCCCTGCATGGGCGGCTGAGTCCCCAGGGGAGGAAGGACCCTGGGCAGGGTCTTTATGGAAAATCCCAGCAGAGTGACTTCCTTTGGACTTCCATCCTCACCTGAAGAGGTCATGCCCTCAGCCATCAGGTGCCATCTGCCATCTGGATGCTATTTTCTTCATCCCTAATTAGTGAGAGTCAGCTTCTTTGCAAGGCTGTGCTTTCTGGAATGAGCCCCAGTCCAGAGATAAATTAAATCCAGGTACCTTGTGGAATGACCTCCCTCCATAGCTCCAGGTCCAGGCTGGGGATGTTTTCACACGACTCAAAGTCCTGGGGGAATTTTCCAATTAGAAAGGTATCCCTGGGCACGTGGCTGAGGCCTGTGTTGTCACAGATGACTCGAGAGAGGGAATGTTGCTCCAGCTGCTGTCTCTGAGCTGCGGTAAACACGCCCTCATTTTCCCACCAAAACCTGCAAAACGAAGTGGGGAGAGTTGGGGCAGAGCCCTGCGTGGTGACTTTTGCTGGCAAGCACTGAGCACCGTGCTTCCTGCACCCTTGAGTCCATGCTTGTGGCTTGAGGATGAGGCAGGGGACAGAAGGGTCCCTGCACACTGTGCTTTTCACCCGCAGTGCTGTGCTGCTTCCCTGACCTAGGTCTGCAGACCTGCAGAGCTGTGCTGAACACAAGATTGGTGGGGCCTAGGGTGAGCTCTGCAGTGGTCAACAGTTCAACCCAGGCTCCACCTACGAGCCCCAGGGTGATCCCAGTATCTCCACTGTTGGGGATTCCCTTCCTCACTTCTCCCCCCTCCCGCAATTGTGTCATTTCTGGTGTACTGTAATCCAGTGTGTAAAAGTACCACAATCAAGTGGTGTAAACTCACAACCAGCATGTGTAAGCACCACCATCAAGAGTTTGAGAGTCCTAGTGTTTAAAATCCTGTAACCAAGTATGTGAGACTCTACAACCATGTGAGTGCCAAAACCAAGTGTGTGAGAGCCCCACAACCAAGTGTGTGAGATCCCATAAGCAAGTGTGTGAAATCCTCCTACCAAGTCTGTGAGAGCTCACAAGCAAGTGTGTGAGCTCACCACAACAGAGTGTGTGAGAGCCCAGGACCAGTGTGCGATGGCCTTAACTAAGTGTATCAGACAGCACGGCCAAGGGATTTGTGACACCTGATGGTAGAAACAAAGCAAAAAGAAAAGGGGGGGGGGAGGGGAAGTAAACACAAGAATCCCACAGGAGTGAAGAGAACCTTTCCCCACCTTGAGGAAAGTTTGACTGAGTGACCCAAATGACAGTGGGATGTCCCCTTCTGCATGAGACTCCCCAGAGCCACAGGAAGGAGTTGCACTTTCAGAACATGAAGATCCTTGGAGCCAGAGTGATAGTGCAGCGGGTGAAGCACTTAGCTTGCACATGTCCAACCCAGGTTCAATCCCCGGCATCCCATATGGTCTCTCAAGCCCATCAGTAGTGATTCCTGAGTGCGGAACCAGGAGAAACTCTTGAGTACTGCTGAGTGTGACCCTCAAACAAAACAAAACAAAACAAAACAAAACAAACCAACAACCCCCCCCCCCCCCAAGAATAACGTTAAGATCCCTGACTAGTCCCACAGCTCTTGTCTTGAATGTCAGAAAAGTATTTTCTGTTTCTCATGAAAAACTTTTTGTGTGACATGATGGTAACTCTGTGGGATTTGTGATTCTGCTGCATGATGGGATCCAGGTTTATTATGGCTAAGCTGGGAACTAACAGAAACTTGAAAGAACCCAAGTGCTCTTGGAAAACACCTGAGTTGGGGTACAGTGACTTAAGAAAAGAAAAAAAACAAAAAGAAAAGGAAAGAAAAGAAAAAAGAAAAGAAAAGAAAAGAAAAGAAATAAAAGGACACTTATGTGGAGGGACTAAAAAGGGAAAAGAAAATATTTCTGCATTTCTCCCACAAGTCCGTTTCTATGTGTGTGGTGGGTGGCATTTCTGGTTCCCTGGAGTTCCTTGTCAGGGCAGGGGAAAGGCAGTGTGCATCTGGGTCAGACCCTGGAAGAAGCTACCCTGGTTCCCTGGCACAGTCCTGGTCTTAGCCTGAGTGTCCTGGGTAGACAGTCCCCCCACCCCCTCAGTTCCATAGACACTATCAAAGGCACAAGATGGAGTGAGTTTCAGGACTACCAGGACACACTATTTGTTCATCACAGGCTGCCTGATTATTCTTGTGAAGGAATGATAGGGAAGAATCAATAACACCTCACATTTCTGAGAACTCCCATTGTGCTATACGTGGTCTGTATTTATTTCTTATCACAACCCACCACAAACCAGCATTCCAGAGGAGGAAACTATGGCTCAGGGAAATACCTGGCCTGGAACCACAGACTACTGAGTGATGGAATCAGGATGTGACTGAGTTTAGGTGAGCCAGAGCAGGACTGTCACTTTCTATGTAGACCACAGAAGTAGCTTGTTAAAGATACCTACCGGTCACCATCCCTTAAGGCCTTCATTTGCCTCCCAATGATGCAAGCAAACAGGGGTCCTGTCCGAGCTCCAGGGAGGAAGTTCTCCATCAAGCCACCCAGCCAGACATCGATGTTGTCAGGGTGGCCGTACAAGTCTATTATCTTATCAGCAATGCTCTCGTTGCCAATGGTGATGTTCAACTCAGTTCGGGTCTCCAGTCTGCGCAGGCCACAAAAATCTCTCCACTCATTATAACCTGCATAGAACATGGGGCTTAGGCTTTCTCTCTCAGGGATTCTAATATTCATCCTTTTGACTATGTGAATACTATAGTCCAGGAAAGAATGGTGTAGCATTAGGGACCTGACCACAGCTTCTAGCCACAGAGAAATTACTTCATTACCTGCTGTGCCCTGGAGAATTTCACTTCCTGGAATGGTCTGCACAGACTTTTACAGTCTTATTGAAGAGTTTGCTCATAAATTAGCTGAGAGAGGTAAATGATGCTGGATCTAAGGGGAGAGTGGGTTCATTTTGCCCAGCTTGTACTCAATTCCTGTCTCTGCATCTCTGCAGGGCACTTAAGACAGTTCTCCTTACCTGTGGAGTTCATATACTATACCATGTAGAAAGCACTGCCTGAGCCAAGTATAAATCCTGACCTACCAAGGAAGAAAAAGAGAAAAAAAGAAGGAAGAAAGAAAGAAAGAAAGAAAGAAAGAAAGAAAGAAAGAAAGAAAGAAAGGGAGCGAGGGAGGGAGGGAGGGAGGGAGGCTATAGGAGCACACCCATGCCACACACACACATATACACACACACTCAGAGGAAGGAATATGAAAGACTGTCTTTGGCCAATTCTCTTTTGCACTGAAAATATCTCACTGCCACTTCATTGCTGAGCATCATTTCTCAACCCCTGGTCAGAAGGACCAGGAGCTTCTCCTCCCTCTCTGAGCAGCACCTTACACTTCTAGGTCTCACTCATGCATTCCTCTCCCCTCTCTCAGTCAGGTGTATCCTCCTCCAGACCTCAAAGATGTGACCTTTAAATAAAATATACAGAAAAATGCATCTGTGACATATACTTCAGATGCTAAAGCACTTATAAGAAAAAACAAACTAAAAAACAAAAACAACAGCAAGAAAACAAAGTCTCAAGGAAAGTCTTATTTTCAGACAAAATAGAACCACAGGAAATGATCAAATATTTTCCAGCTAGATGGATAAAGGGATAATGAATAATCAAGAGACTTGCTGAGCCCAGAAAGGGAAAATGGGAAGGAAAGAGGAAAGGGGAAAGAAAAGATAAATTAAGGACAGGAAACATTAATGGGAATTAAAATCTGAGCTTTAAAAAAAATCTGCTATCAAATGCACTAGGATCCACTTTTAGCCAACAGGTTTCATGATTAAAATTCACACAATGCTACATGTGCAAACCTTTTGCTCATGAGTTCAAACAGCCTAGGTTGAGCCTCTCAGCTCAGGACAACATTGTATAGTTACCCAACTCCTCGAGAAGCTGAGCTGCTACAAATCAGCACCTGCCATTTGTAGATGCCACTTAGAACCTGTGATTCTCTTCACAGAAAGACATTCCCTTGTTCTCCTATCAAAGATGCCTGTTAAAGAGGCATCTCTCTTAGAGATTCTCCTGTATAACCCACCTTAGTGCTGCCAGTGGTATTTCATCTTTTTCACACAATCTGTGACACTGTCTTTTGTACGCTTAACCATTGCAAACCTACCCTTCAAATTTCCCACGATCAGTATCAGAAAGCACAGCAACACTAAATTTGATTTATATAGAATATACATATATATATATGTATATATATATAAAATTCCCAGTGCCTGCAATAGAACTTAGGGAACACAACAGTTATTTCATTGAATATTTGCTGAAGGAATGTGCTTATTTCAAGAGAATCAAAACCCCAAATATGAAGTGAATCAAGACCAAAATTAGCTATAGTGGTATAGACCCTCTGTAAACTATTTTAAGTAATAAAATGTATAAAATATTTCAATACCTGAGACAGGCATTTAAGCTTTGCATGGAAGAAGAAAGAAACCAGGAATATATTTCCTTTTTTATTGCAGTAAGAGGGACCATATTTATATCTATTTCCAGCTCCAGAGAGAAAGGATACAATGTCTAGAACATGGCAAGGAGATATAGAGTATAAAAGGGCTCTCACAGGACTTCAGAGCCAGAAGCAAGAATATAAATTTTGGATATCTCTATCTGTGCCAGACAGAGGAGGGAAAGTAATAGAGGAAAAAAGCACTTTTTTTTTTGAGGAATGTTCATTGAGTATTTTATGATCTCTGCAGAGTAGAGCAAAATACCTCATTGTATAGGGGTGGTCTCTGTAACATGCTTATAACGAGCATTTATAAACAAATTAATGATCCAAAATAATCTTAGATCTAACCTGTCGAATATGATTAGATGTCTGTTCTGTACCGTTCAGTTGCATCCATTTGCCAAAATTGGGGTGTTGTTTATACTCTTTATGCTCAGTCTCCTTATCAAATTTTTTAAAAAAGATTTTATTGAGGGGCTGGACAGATGGTTCAAATGTTAAGTTGCTTCAGGGCTAGAGTGATAGCACAGAGGGTAGGGCATTTCCCTTGTATGCATCCAACCAGGTTCGATTCCCAGCATCCCATATGGTCCCCTGAGTACCGCCAGGAGTGATTCCTGAGTGCATGAGCCAGGAGTAATCCCTGTGCATCTCTGGGTGTGACCCAAAAAGAAAAAATAATTAAGCTGCTTGTCTTGAAAGTGACTGGCTCTGGTTTGATCCGTGGCTCATACGATCCCCAGAGGACTGCCAAGAGTGAACCCTGAGCACAGAACCAGGAGTGAGTTCTGAACACAACCAACTGTAGCTTCAAAAACCAAAGACATAACCAAAAAAAGATAACTGTCTCCTCATAAAATTTCCCTCTCCCCTTCTTTCCTTTTGCCAATGTTGCAATGACTGGGATTTGTGTTGGGTGGGTGACAATGGATGTATGTTGGGGGGCGGAGTATAACACATCTGGTTGCACTGTGCCACATATCTGGATCCAGTATGGCTTATGGGGACTGGGAACACACACAACGGATCTTCCAGAAGGCAAGTGGTAGCGCAGGGAATGGAACTCATGGCCTTATGAACACTTGCCAGTTAGGCACTTTGGCCACTGAGCCCTCTCTTAGCCTCTCCTCATTCATTAAACTGATCCTAATGCAGTCTCATAGGGCTTGTAAAGACATAAAAGCTAATAATTGGAAAAGGTCTGAACTATATTCGGCATAGAGCAAGTAGCCAGCAAAGGTGGGCTCATTGCTTTTTATAACCGTTGGTCCAAATTACTGCTTATGCCCATGTGTTGTCTCTAATGTTCAGATATATGCTATACTCTCTGAATTTCAGATGAGAAGCTGTATGTTCCACTGTTAACTCATCATTGGGTTTCTCAGTTCTGAGTCCCTGACTTCAGAACACATGCCCAGTCCAGAAATTATGATTTCTGCAGGTCCCCTTCTTCCTTTATTCTATTCTTCTTATTAGGAAGTTTATTCACAAAAAACTATCATCTCATATATTCTTTTCAAAGAATATATATTCTTTGTAGGGGAGACAAGTCAGTGAAAAACATGGGTTTCTGAGTATATCTTTTCAGTTGAAGATAAGGATGAAGGTTACAACCCAAAAGCAAGGGAGAGGTGGAGACCAGAGATGTGGAGCTCAGTAGGGAGGACATGTCTTGCTATTCAGAGCTGTCAGTCATTACAATTACATTTCAGTCAGAACTTGAAGAATGTGGAGTGGGTAAGCCAGACCAGTTTAGCAAGGTGAATATTAAATCCGAGGTAGAATCACACAAGACCCCTGAGTCCGGCAGGCATGTGCATCCTCTGTTTCAGGAGCAGCTGTGATTGAGTGCAGACACAAGCAGAAGAGGAGAGAGTTTTTGAAGTTGGAGCAGAGCAGACCTATTCTTTGCAACCTCCCTGCGCTCATTCATATTTATCCATCAGATACCAGTATCTGGGGAAGTGGCTGTCTCTAGTCCGTCCTGATGCAATGGTCTTGTAGGAAAGGGAGGGAGATGTGGCAGAGCTACCATCACTAAAGACTGCTTGGTTCAGAGTCAGAAGTTGATAAAGTTGACTGGACAGACATTTCCCTGTCAGCCTTCCTTGATATCAGACACAACAGAACATATTTGATGGTTAAAGATATGTGTAGATAGTTGGATCAGTAGCTAATAAATATTAGGGTGAAAGTTATCTGAGAAGTCATAGTGTCCTTCTACCTATGTGAGAAGAGTTGGGCATAAGTCTTGTGGTGTCCTCTGAGTATGAATAAAATTATCATAATTTGGGGTATCTTCTGATCAAAGTGTGCCTTGTACCAGTGATGGGGGTATACAGAGTTCCTTTCTGGCCAAAGTCAACAGATATAGGTGTATACAGTGTATTCTGTGGGCTGGAGGAGCCTAGAAGTATATAGGGTAAGTATACCTGAACTCAGTAACAAGTTTTTGGCAAATGCATGTTTTGGAGAAGCAGCCAAAGTTCTAAGTGTTTAAAACAAAAAATCCATAATGCACAAAGGAGTTGGGTCAGTTTCAAACAAGAATTATGTGGACTTGTACAGGAGGGGTAAGGTTCAAGTGTCAACAAGGAAGGAGGAAATTATATAGCCTAGTCATCTGGCCCCAAGAAGAGTCTCTACTCCTCAGTGACCAGGAAATTGAAGCAGCTAGACAACAGGTAACCCTGCAGGAAATAGGAAAGCCTCTGATGCCCCCAAGATCTGAGGTAGAAAGAGGCAGGGCACAATTTGTTTTAACTCTGCTTGAGTGTTGGGATCTGCAAGTTGGCCATAGAAAGCCAGAACCAGACCTGCCACCACCTTCCAAGAAAACTGCTCCCTGTCCCGGAACATGCTCTCTATAAATTCCTGGCTTCATCCTTATTTGAAGTTCTTGTCTCTTTCTGTGTGGTTCAGTAGTTTGAGAGAAGCAGGAATCACCTCCACAGTGGCATCAGCTAGGCTGTAAAATTTTGTTTCTTGGAAGGTGCCATGGGCTTGTAGACACATTTTACTTTAAACTCAAGGGGCAAGAGACTGACTTGGCAGATTTTACAGCACAAGAAAGCATCCCTGGAGCAGAGACAGACCTGGTAGGCCATGATCCCGGCCCCTCTGCAAGTTGAGCGATGCCAAATCCAAGGTGCCTGAGTTGGACAGCACGAAGAGTCTCTCTGTCAGCTCCTCACTCATCAGCTGGTCTTGTAGTTGCAGCTTGGTGGGCCTAGCAAGTAGGCCACGTACCACAGGGTCTAGACCTCCTTGAAAATATAGAAAAAGAAACAAGGTTTCCTGAGTTCTGAAGAAATAAGAAAATACCTCAAATGGTGAAATAACACAGTCAACATCTTTTTGAAGCTCAAATCACCTAATGTGATCTGAAAGTTTTCAACTAATTTTGAGAAGCATATTTGGTTAGGGAATTTGTCTATCTGGATATCTAGGGACTGTTTTTATTTAGGATTGGTCTTCAGATATGAAAAGAATCCTGAAATGTTTCTTGTGAAGGTTTTGTTATATATATATAGCTTTTTGGGTCACACCCAGCGATGCTCAGGGGTTACTCCTGGCTCATGCACTCAGGAATTACTCCTGGCGGTGCTCGGGGGACCATATGGGATGCTGGGAATCGAACCTGTGTCGGCCATGTTAGCTGAGTGCAAGGCAAAGGCCCTACCCGCTGTACTATTGCTCCAGCCCCCAAGATTTTGTTATATATATTTTTAGTAGCAGAAACAGTGCAGTCAAAGGGAAGAATTTTCTGAATTCTAACCCTTGGACCAGTAGAAGGTGATGTTATTTTACTAAGTGAGCAGTTGGCACATTCAGGGATCTCTTACTCCCCCCACCTCCAGTTGCCTCTCAGCACGCTGTGGACCAAATGACCACTCACTTCCCTTCCCAACTACATTGAGGTTTATCAAGTCTGTTCCTTGATGCTCAAACTGCAAGGCCACAAGCAGCCTCTCTTCCCCTCCACTGCCATATTCATTTGTTTTATTTTGTTCTGGGGCACCACACAGCAATGCTCAGGGACTATTCCCAGCTCACTTTTCAGGGGTCTTTTCTGGCAGAGCTCAGGAAATCATGCAGTGCTCAGGATTAAACATGAATGTCCATATTTCCAGCTCCAGTTGAACACTCATTTGGAGACCATTATCTTCTGAATCAGATTAGAAGTTTCCAGATAGATGCGGTGGAAGAACATGAGGAGCATATAAATAACCCTGCCAAGATTTTGCCCAGACATTGAAATGAGTCTCTAAACAGTTTCTTTCCAAAGGGCTCCCATCAATTGGCATTCTAACATTATCTGGCAAAGAACCATCCATGGAACAAACACATTGCTTAATGATAAGGCAGAACTGCTGACCATGGGCAAACAGAGATGTAAGCATCAACATTATTTGTTTTGAACAATAGAGGAGGGGGAGCCTTTACCCCCTTGAGTGGGAAACCTTGAGAAATCTTTGCAGAAGGATCTTTGATGAATGCTTTAGCCTTTTCATAATCCTCAATTGCTTCTATTTTCTCCATGATTATTGGTAACTGGATAATATTCAGTCAAGTGACCAGTGTGAAGGGAGATCTGATGCCCTTCTGGGTGGGGATAACCTCATCTCAGAGGAGAAGGAATGCACCAGCCCCACTGGCCCAGAGCAGAGACATACCTTCCTTGATGAGTCTCCAGGGACTGAAAAAGACATCCTGCAACCGTAGTCTGGGGAGGTCAGGGTGTTCCTGGAAGTGGGTGTCTAGTCGCCTCACCAGTGGGTGGATTGTGGCATGGCCAAAGCGGAAGGCAGCCGTGGAAAACACATTAGAGACTGTGGGGTCCACAGTGGAGTCATAGCCCTCATAGGGGCCTACATGCTGCTGGATGGCCTGGGGGCCCAGAATTTTGGGGAGGTAATCTCGCATGGTGATGATCTATGGAGAAAGAAGACAAGTGAGTTTCAGGGCAGTGGGTCACATGTGTGTGCCCAGGATGCAAGGTGTCGGGTGAGAGAGTCATAGGGAATAACTCTTTCTGTATATCCTGGGGCTCAGCAGAGTTGTACCGGGGGGGGGGGGGGAGGGGCGGTCATGCTATTTATGTAAGGAAACAGGTCAACAGCTATAGAAACACTAACCATTCAAAGCAAATGCCTTACAGTGTTTGGCATTTATGAATGGGGGATGTCAGAACTATTCCCAACACCCTCTAGGGCAGACCTGGTAAGTCTTGGGAGCCTTGGGACCCTAATAAGGGGGGGGGGGCTGGCTGTTCTCCTTCTAGAAATGCAAGAACAGTTCCATCCAAAGGATCTTGGCTTTGCATTTACCCACATCCACAGACACTCCACGAGCACTTACGCTTGAAGCAAATCAGAAATCTAATTGCCTGCCATAATTCGTGGTTTAGACTTGCCTGTGGGCTACCATCCTGAGAGGCTGATTAACCTTTCTGAACCTGTTCTCATTGAAAATCCTCTTTCATGGAGTTTCTTCGAGAATAAAAAAGACATGGCTTTATATGCTAGCTATTTATATAGTATATCTAGAAAGAATATATAGAGCCATAGATTATAGAAAGTATCCCAATAAATTCTGGCTAACTCCCTCCCAAGAGTATTACCTTTCACTTTTTTTTTTTTAAATAAAAATTGTGATTGCTGGCAGGGGACAGGGGATAGTGGCACGTCCAGAAACACTTAAGATCAGTGTGGTGCCAGGATCGAAACTTCGCCCCAACACTTGTGTTCTACCACATGAGCCACTTCCCCTGTCCTCTTTCTTGCAAGTTTAAAGGCATGAGACACAAAATTCTTTATCAGCTGCAGCCTCTCAAATCTAAGCAAAGACAAAGATCTTCGTATTGATTTTTCTATTTCACCCTTCTGTAATTGTCTTTGGATAGTTGTCAGTTCTTTACAAAAGACACAGAAATTTAGTGGTGAAATACTGTCAGTACTTTCAAGAGGGACTGAGTTTGTGCTGTGGATCACACAGATGAGTTGAAGTTCCCACTTTTGGTCCCACCCTGTGGGAATACACTGCCTAGGATGAGGAGACAGACAACACTTGTGTTCTACCAGAAAGTTTAACAACACGGAAAGTTGGCAGATAACTTTCCTGATCCAGGCTAGAAATAAAGCATCATTGCCAGGCCAAGGGCTGGGCTTGTGCTTTGTGCATGGTGGCAGCTCTTGGCAGAAAACATATGGTCAGTGGGTAGATGCAGGACATGCACAGAGCCCTGGGAGGCACAGATTTCCTCCCTGTGACTAAGCTACAGGAAAGCTCCCTCTCATCTAGAGCATTAACAATAACCCCTGATTATTACAGCAGTTTCAAGGATGCAATCCTTGAATAATATGTGCTGAAGAGTCCTGTCAATGGTAAATCACGGTGCAGTCACAGGGCCTTGCAATTTCTAGTTGACAAGTGGTCCCTAGAACATTATGTACAAGGCTCAGCTTTTAGGTTTAGCAGCACTTCCTTCAGCTGTACAAATCAGTATCCAATTGTTTTGGTGTTTAAACGAATATATTGGTCAATAAACCACATTTAAACGAGGTTTCAAACCAATAGGAATGACTCCATCCGAGAATATAAGGGTATTATGTTTTAGTTTATTGGTGTAGGGAGGTAAGCTGTTAACATGCTCAGATTGTTTACAAAAACTAACAAACAAAAGCATCTGTGCACTTGTAACACCTTCCTTTCAGATGACAAAATATGTTTCCTCAATGCATGGTTTGGTGTTTGCTGGGAGAGTGGGAGGGGACCTTGAGTCTGGCGTGTGGCTTGTTATGCTCAGTGGGAGACAGATGGGAACAGTGTCCCAGCACTGTGCATCCACTTCTCAGACCGAAGCAGGCAAGAGTGGAAGGTTCCATTCACATTTCTGACTGATAAGTCCACCCTGAGCTGGGTTGCTGATTTCGTTCTGCAGAAGCAGCCTCTCATCCTAACAGAAGTGGTTTGTGGTCCCAAACCAGTCCAAGCCTTCTCTTGACAGTCAAGCAAGCTTGGCTTTGTACTCAGAGAACCTTTCATTCTTGTCAATATTCTTGGATTTTTGTTCCTGTTGCAGACAGATTGGCTTTCTCTTCTCCACAAAGTTGAAACAATATTAAACTCACATATAAAATACTTTGACAACACCTCTTTCCTTTCTCCTTGACCTGAGGTTTGTCGGGGGAATGCAAGGAAAGGCAACATTCACAGGAGCCCAGGAAAACCCAACTACTGTTAGCTGATGACTTGCTACTAATTTCTAAAGCAGCTACTTACTCAAAGACCTTTTCCCTGAGTCGAGGTCTTAGACTCTGTGCAGCCTCACTGTTTGGACTGTCAGATATTTTCTTCTCTCCTGATTATCCTGATCTGAAGTGCCAATTACAAGAAAATATCTGGAACTCTCCATGGGGAGCTGTAAGGCGGGGGCAGCATCTGGGCTCTGAGCAATAGGCCTTTGAGGTTTGATCACACTGTGGCTCTAGAATTTTCATGATGACTTCTGGAAACCTTTGAGCGGTTGGCTCTTGGTGCCATAAAATTCAGATGACCATCAAAGAGTGGACTTCTCCCTCCTGCCTCTCCTCCATTCTTCTGAGCAGGAAAGGGTGCCCTCTTGTACCAGGTCCCTGTGGAGGCTCTCTCCTTCAAGGCTTGTCTTTTTCCTTCTCATCTCCTGGGACCCCTGATTCTTACAGACACTGCAGGACACGGCAGCTGCTTCTCATATCCCTGACATGGAGCCCTGTCTGCCCTGGAAAGAAGGTTGAAGCAGGGGATGCAGGGAGTTGGACAGGAGGCAGGGTACTTGCTGGAAGAGGAAAAAATGATGGAGGAGGAAGAGAGCCTTTAGTTGCCTCTGTTGTAAAGTGCTATTGGAAGCACTGGTCCCTTAGGCTGAGTCTCCCAACTCTTCTTATGCTCCCAGCACGCTCCATGCAGGAAATCTCTCACACTCTGAGAGAAAACTCTCAGTGGGTCCCAGAGACAAGAATCCTACTCTGGAATCAAGGAGGGCCACAGCTTCTGGGAACAGAATGTCTATCAGAATTCAAGTTTAACTTCTTCCTGCAGGCAGTCCTGGATTGGGAGCTGCTGGAATTGCTGGAGTTGAGGCAGGGGTCTCACCTCTGGAAAGGTCACCTAGAGGGGCCATGGTTTTCATCCATCATCTCTGAGGGCAGCAACTAGGAAATATTTGCCTTTGGGCATTCAAAATCATGAGGGGTGGGGTAGAAAAAGCATGCCACTGCAGAGATAGCAGTGTTATGGTGGAGTAAGAAGCTCATTCTCTGCCTTCCCATGCCTTTTCTTCTCTCCCAGCTACCCTCCACAACCCAATCAGGGAGCTCCTCAGAGGGAATCTGTCGGCTTCCCAGATGGGCACAAACAGGAAGATTCTCTTTCCTCCTGCTTCCTGTTTTGCCCACATCCACACCTAAATTAAAGTTTTCATTGATCCCTAAGAATTTAGGGAATAAAATCAAATTTCTGGAACCCAGATTGGTTCTCTGATACTTGGGGAGCAGAAAGTGTCTACCCAAAGGGATGCTTCTTTCAGTCCTATGGGCATGTTCCACATACCCATCCCATGCTGTGGTGAGAATTCCTGTCCTCTTCCCTCTACTGGGCAATTGCTTCTCTCCTCTCATCCTGACTCAGCACAAGTCCTTTCAAAGTGAGTGCCAGAATCCTTTTTTTCTAAAATATGCTCTAGCTAAACTAGACTTAGCTTCCATTTCAGCAGGTAGGAGGCATCTAGAACAGAGGCCCAGCAGGGGTGGATTTTCCTAAGCATTTCAATGTTCAAATCTCCTGGGTGATGCTGACCTGGCATTAGAAGGATGGAGGGAAGCAGACATTCCAGCAGCAGGCTGGTTATCCCAGGGACTAGGGCACATTCTAGTGAGTTATTTTACAAAAGAATCTGAATGTGAATCTTCATGGGAAACTGCTCCCTACTCCATTGTTGGTGAGTTCCTGGTTAGCTCTGGGCCAATGCACAAGAGTTTCAGATCATTAAATTACCAAACTGTGGGTCAAGAGAGCCAGGGAAGAAAAATGACCAGTGCCCACATGACTGGAAATATTTCAAAATAGTTCAAAGGTCTGGCCAAGGCTTTCTCCACACATCAAACATGATTCCTCAGTGTTTTGAGGTTTCTAAGATATTTTAAAAAAATCAAAGAAACAGCATTAACCAAAAAAAAATACACAAGAAAATTTGAAAGTGAAATGTAAAACTCAGAAGAAAAAATATTACTGTTTTTAAAAAGCAGAGAACAGAGAAAATGAATTAAAGAAGGGAATATAAAATGCTCAAGTGTTCCTTTCCATTTAACTGTTGTCACTCCAGGTATTAAGAAGAAAAAGAAGCCAAATGTTCTGATTTCTGTGTCATTTCAGATTCCCAGTATCCTAGAATGAAACTATAGCTAATTTACTGACAAGTCAGGGCCATATGATAAATAAGTAAGGCACAAATCTCAAATTGTCCCCCAAATAATCCCAGAAATAGCCTGAAAGAAAGTGGATGAGCCATATGGCCACACTGGGACTTTTTTTTTTTAAGATCAGTTGACATGGATCAGAAATTCATGTTCATCCACAAAGACACAACATACCTTCTCACACAACACCCTGTTTATGCTTCACACATATACCACTTCCATACCTGTTTACCTCCAACACAGACACAGGCACAGACACACACACACACACACACACACACACACACACACACACACACACACACACTCACAGAGATCTATTCAAGCTAGGCTGACTTTCACTTAGTATACTGAAAGTCCAGAGTCACCTGTTTGTTCCTGGAGCCTGCTGCAGTTCCTTTTTGCCATCAATATTTAAAGGTGAGACCTGGGACAGGGACCCAGAAGCCTGCTGAGCAGGCTCTAAGCCCTACCCTAACCTCTGAATTCCTGAGAACAGTGGACCACAGAAAGGATGGAAAACAGCTTCCTGGGAGAGGTCTACCCATTATGGGCTCTTGTGCCAACCTGGACTAGACTCGACTTTCTCCTTGGCCATGGAGAGGATCAATGGCAAGTGCTGCTGTAGGGTAGGGCCTGGCACAAATATACGAGTAGTGATTCATGGAGCACTGCTCATTCACTTTTCATAACAGCCCAATTGGCTCAGCCTGTTAGCAACTTCTTTTTTTTAAAGGTGAGTCTCATTTCTTCAAATCACACAGTTGATTCATGATCAACTTTAGAAACTCCACCCAGGATCCTCCTACTCAAGACTAAAGACTGACTTGGGAGGTGGCCCAGGGCTAGAGACTCTCTGTGGCAGAGTGTCCCGACCACTTTGAATGAACCAGGCCCTAGGCTAAACGGTGGTGGGGGGAGGGGGAGGAGGAGTGGGTTCTCACAAATGAGAAAACAATGAAAATAATAAAGTTTTTAACTAATAATGAAAACAGTCAAGTTTAACTTGCAAATTAGCAAATCTCACACAGCCTGCTTTCTTTTTGGTTTCACCAATGTCTACAAAATACGAAAAGAACAAAATCGTTGCTGGACCCCAGCTGGACACAGCTGGAAGGGCTGCTATGAAACATAAGAATTCGCCTATTCAGGGATTGCTAAGAAAAAGATGGCTGGAGGAATCGGCCGGGATGGGAGATGTGTGCAGAAAGTGGATAAAGGACCAAACATGATAACCTCTCAGGGTCTGTATTGCAAACCATAATGCCAAAAAGTAGAGATTATGTGGAATCATGTCTGCCATGGAGGCAGGGGGAGGGTGGGGAAGGGGGGTATACCGGGGATATTGGTGGTGGGGAGTGTGCGCTGATGGACGAGGGGTGTTTGATCCTTGTGTGATTGTAACCCAAACTTGAAAGCTTGTAACTATCTCAAGGTAAAGGTAAGGTAAAGGTAAAGGCCCTCCCGTTGATCATCGATTTGCTCGAGTGGGCCCAGTAACGTCTCCATTGGAGACTTTGTTGTTACTGTGTTTGGCATATCGAATACTCTTGGTAGCTTGCCAGGCTCTCCGAGAGGGGCGGAGGAATCGAACTCGGGTCGGCCATGTTGGCCGCTTGTAAGGCGAACGCCCTACCCGCTGTGCTATCGCTCCAACCCTTACCTCAAGGTGATTCAATTAAAAAAAAAATTCGACTTTTAGACACCTAGTGTGTCCTGGCACTAGAAAGCACTGGATGACCCTGGAATCACCTGTGGTGCTGCTTGAACTGCAGTCCAGGTTGCTAATCTCCAGCCAGCTAAGCCTCTCGGGCTCTAAACGGCAAGAGCAACTGAGATACAGCTTTGGGCCCTGTTCTCCCCACCGGATGAATGAGGACTGTATGCATCCATCCGGGACCCCTACCAGGGCCCTGCGACCCCGGACACCCTGCCTTCGAGGCCTTTGCACCTACCTGGTGCAGCGCGCCCACGAGCTTGCGCGCCTCCTGGTAGACTGTGTCCGCGCTCCAGTGCGCATTGAGGGCCTTAAGCGCAGTGGCCAGGCGGTTGTGCTCGCGAAGCCACAGCGTGTGCACTGCCGCCAGGGAGGGAACTTCGGTGGCGCGGCCGTCCCCGGCCAGAAAGCAGGGGACGCGGGCTGCTCCGGGGGTGCCGGGCTCCGGAGCGCAGGCGGCGGGCATAGGGGGTGGCGCGAAGGGCAGGTAGGCGCGGCCCCCGTCGCGGTGGCGCGCGTTGATGCGGAGCAATCCCTCGGGGCTGGACCAGTTCCGCAACAGTTTCTCTGCAGCTGGGGAGCTGCCGTACACGGTAGAGGCGTCGAGGAAGGAGGTCAGCCCGTTCATTTGTTGTCGCGGGTTTGCCCGGGACAGATTGCCAAAGAGGGCTCCTTGGTTCCCTGTGCCGCAGGATGCGGCTGAACGGTAGAAGGGCAAACACGTCGAGCCGGAGGTGGTGGAGGTGTTCACCGGGAGCTGCAGGAAAGGGGAGATCCAGGTCACTAGATTTCTCAGGGAGCGCTCTTTAGAGATTATAGTTCTTGACTGCGCTAAAGGACCGGCGTTTCTGTGCAGATTGCAATCTGCTCCTCAGGCCTCAGCACAAGCCTACCCTTCTGGGCTCCCACCCTGGAGCTCACTGTTAGTCATGTGCCTGGATGAGGCAGATTCCAACCCTGCAGACCCTACCCAAGGATTTGCATCTCTCAATACTTAAGGATCTTCTTTAGTGCTTCCCCCCACCCCCTTCTTTTTCTCTTCTTTGGGTGGTGGTGATGGGGTGTGTGTGTGTGTGTGTGTGTGTGTGTGCATGCCTGTTTGGGCAATACCCAGCTGTTTGGGTAATATTCAGGGCTTCGTCCTGGCTCCTTGCTCCGGGATCACTTCTGGTTGGATTGGGGGACCATACATGTTCCCTGGGTTTGAACACAGATTGGCCAAAGGCAAGTAAGTGTCATGCCCAGTGCAATATCTCTCCAGTCACTTTCTGTGCTTTTCTTGGTTGGACTTGTCAAATCTCATCCTTCCATCATCCTCTCTCTGACTTCTCTCCGAGAGGAGCTGACCTCTCAGGAAGGGCAGAATTCCATGGCTTTGGGTGCATCACTGTGGAGGGAGCCTGGATCCTGGGGCTCTCTCAGCTCTAGGCAGCCTGTGTCCTCACACTCAATGAAGTGCGAAGAACAACTATATATAATAAAACATACATATACACAAGATGGAGCCCTCTAGGAGTGTGTGTGTGTGGGGGGGGGGGGGGGTGGTCACTCCCAAAGAGCCACTCTCCTTTACCAAGAATGCACAGGAGATCAGTTAAGTCCCCCATTTACACCTGCAAACAAGCAGTCTTAAGACTCTTGTTCTGTAAATGGTTTGTGTGAGGTTTACCTTGCTCGAAGTTCACAGGAACAGGTTTCAAAAGAAGGGCTATTAGTAAAAGCCATGGTGTTCTGAGAGCTGACACTATAATAGAGAACAAAGAGAAGTGCGAGGCTGCTGGACACAGCTCCAGCTGTGCACTAAGGGCATCACAAAGGATGGATGACCGAGGGCTCTTTGACTAGGCAAGCTCATCTAAGCTAGATTGCATATTTGCTAGGCTTTGTTGGTGAGACATGCAACAGTGTGGAAGAGGTTGGTGAAATTGAGGGTAATGAAAAGAGAAGATTAGGTATGGAGTTGGTGACTGCAGCCCAATAGATGCTGCAGCCTTATATTCAGGCTGCCTGTCATTGCCAGTTGAGCTATGAATTGGAGGCAATGTGCAAGCCTCAGCTCCTCAGCACTGCATTTGTTATCAGGCCCAGGGGCTATGCATGGAGGGAAGTGTGAAACTCTCAGGGGAGGACTATCAGATCAGAAGTTGAAGTTCAGACCAGAAAGAACTTAGAATTTTAGGCTAACCAATGGGAAGGGCAGTTAGGACAGAAAAGGGACCACTATGACAATGATAGTTGGAAAAGATCACTCTGGACAAGAACTGAGTGCTTAAAGGAGGTAAAGTGATATGCATGATCCCTTTCAGTAACAATACTGCAAACTGCAGTGTCTAAAAGGAAAATACAAGAGAGAGAGAGTTAGAGAGAGAGAAAGAGAGAAAGAGATGCACTGGTGAATGGATGGATGTTGGAACATTATAGGATGGAAACTCAGTCATGAACAACTTTGTATCTTTGAATCTCACAGTGATTCAATTGATTTTTTAAAAAAATACAATGTGAAGCAACTGAGAATCTCCAGTGGGGACTCCAACCCCTATCAGCCGAATAAAGCACAAAGAATAGAAATACCAGAGAGATCGTTCAGGAGATGTGACTCTTGCCTTACACACACCTGATTTCTATTTAACTCCCAGGCCCCAGTATCAAACAAGGTCAGGGGTTCACTTTTGAGCACAAAGACAGAATAACTCCTGAGCACTCTGGATGTTGCCCCCAAACAAACAAACAAATAAATAAATAAATAAGCACGCTAACAAAAGCCAAGAGAATCACCATAATAGAAATCTCAAAGCAGGAGCTTTAATTCATGCAAATTTGGTAAGCTCAAATTCACTAAGAACATAAAGGAATTTCATTAGTACAAATAATAAAATTAACACACATAATAAATCACCATTAAAGTTGTTCTATGCCAGTCTTGGTTTAAAGGCAAATTTAACTAAAGAAATATAATGGTCTCTTAGAAGTATAGGAAGTATTACATCTTATTAGAAGAGAATCTAAGCATAACAACAAGGGCTTTCCTTAGAAAATGACAGTCTTTAAATTACTTTCATTAAGAAAATGACAAAGAAGAATCAAGTGATTAGGAATTTAGTTAGAGAAGCACGGAAGAAAGCACTAGCTCAGAGTTCAAAGGCACAAGACTTGCATATTCAAGGCCCCAAGTTCAATCCCCAGGACCACATGACTCCCCAAACAGTGGCTGGGTATATTCTTGTAGGTGCCTAGCACCAGCAGATTTGACCCTTGTTACCCCCAGCTGAGCATCTCTGGGTTTTAGCACTGAACTGCTCTACACAGCTACACAGTTGGTTGAGTATCACCAGGAATAGTTCCCAGCCCCCCGGAGTGCTGTTTGGGAGGGTTTTTCCCCCCCATTAAAAAAATAGAATTTAGTTTAAAAACAATAAAAAAATCAAAAGAAATCAAGAAAGATGAATGAATAAATATGTTAAATAGTAAAGTAAAGTAAAGGCCCTCCCGTTGATCATCGATTTGCTCGAGCGGGCCCAGTAACGTCTCCATTGGAGACTTTGTTGTTACTGTGTCTGGCATATCGAATACTCTCGGTAGCTTGCCGGGCTCTCCAAGAGGGGCAGAGGAATCGAACTCGGGTAGGCCATGTTGGCTGCGTGCAAGGCAGACGCCCTACCCGCTGTGCTATCGCTCCAGCCCCAAATATGTTAAATAATTAATATATAAAAGAAAGGAAAACTAACCTTCAGACTTCACAATCTTAGAAAAAAATTAATGAGATTTTGGGCTGAGAAAGGTCATACAGGGGAAATTGAAAAGCTTCTAAGTAGAATTACATGCAATTCTTAGGTATCATGCCTCTATGCATATCCAGATGAAGATATATGGATGATTCCCACAAAGCGGAAGTAGCTAAAATTGTACCAGGAAGAAATTAAATGCTAAAATGGAATTTGCCAGAGAAGATATGCAAGGTGAATAGAGCCAATATTGACTGAAGTACAGGGATCATGCTATGTCAGAGCCGACGTCTGTCAAATCCTCACAGGACACAGCATCTCAGTGCTGCTTAAACTCTGCAGCATAGAAAGGATAGAAAGTGCCCTCAATTAATTGTACAAAGTCCTAAAACTTTAATATTTGCTCTGATAAAAATAGTACAATGACAAAAGAAAGCACAGCTCAATATCCCCTCTAAAATACCTAAAGCAGAGCAGCTGTGAATTGTAAGGACATATACTATATCTAGATAGGATTCATTTTTACGGTAGCTTAGTGACTGAGAATAGATTTATATTACCCAGGATATCAACAAATTAAATGAGAAACATGGGATTAATTTTCTTTGAAAGCATAATAATAAAATTTTCTGTTAAACGTTCTATTTAAATAGAAGTAAAATGGAATAGAGTAAGAGTTGCTTACTTATAAGGTAGATTTAATAGGAAATATTATCTTGAACAGTGAAACCATACAGATCATTTAAATTAAAATGAAAAAACCAGAGATAAATAATCACTGCCATTATTATTACCTCAGAAAAATTTTTAAAATTCTGCTTAGATCAAAGATCAGAAAATAAATTAGAACTGGCAAAAAAGCTAGAAGATAATATAAAAATCGCAAGAAAACTAACTTTTAGCTTATGATACATTAGATGTCTTAGGACATCTAAAATGAGAGAAGATTAAAGATGTCTTAGGACATCTAAAATGAAAGAAGATTAAAGTTTCTGCAAAAAGTGTTCTCACAAACCAAGGAATATAAAAAAAATTTCTTCATTCTACTCCTTATCTCTCTCCTCCTACCATTTTCTTTAGAGGAAAAAATTCTATCCTAGAAACATCATGACCAAAATCACATGTACAAATTGAGTAAAATAATTATAGAATCTACATCAGATTATAAAATATCATTCAAAAATCAAAAGAAAATTGGAAAAAGGTCAGTTCTCTTTCAATGAATGTATAAATGAAATTAACTAAATTTACAATAGTACTTTTTTCTTTTTTGAAATACATGAATTAACAGTAAAATCCATACGAAGAAATAAAATCTTTTGTTATTTATTACTCCATAAATTAAGGAAAGAGAAGTATAGTTCTGTTAGGTGATATTTAATAGATAGTAGAATATACAGTAAGGTGATTGTGGTAAAACTAACAGTATTATGGGAACAAATATATCAGTTAGAGAAAATAGTGCCTTCAGAACTAGACCCAAATCATCTGATGACAATAGATTGAAAAAAAGCCCAACTGTTTATAGTGTTTCTGGATAAGAACAAAATGGATCCTAATTTTAAAAAATAATATGTGATAATGGAGTGATAGCACAGCAGGGAGGGCGTTTGCCTTGCACGCGGCCGACCCAGGTTCAATTCCTCAGTCTCTCTCGGAGAGCCCTGCAAGCTACCAAGAGTACCCCGCCCACATAGCAGAGCTTGGCAAGCCACTGTGGCATATTCAATATGCCCAAAACAGTAACAACGAGTCTCACAATGGAGACATTACTGGTGCCCGCTCAAGCAAATCGATGAACAACGGGAGGACAGTATAAATGAAACATGTAGCTTGATATTTTCTAGGCTACTGCACTTACAGTTTTGTAATAACAAAGATCTCCTAACCAGGGCTAAGTCCAAAAATTGTTCATATGCTACATACTTTACTGTATGAAAATTCAAATTTTTCATAGTGAAATTTACCATACTGAAGGGTAAGGAATAAACACTTTTGAAGAGTGAATATCTGTGGAGTACAAAGAGCAGTTAAT